CATAGTGATCTACCCAGTTTCCTAAGTAACACAGCAGTTTAAGAACTCACCTGATCTTGCAGTTACCTGCAGTAAAAAAATAAAATAGAAATGTGTTCATGTGTGGATGTACATAGTACTCTTTGAATTAATGGTTAATCTTCAGCACTCACCTTCACATTTATGAAATGAATTTAGTGACTTTTCCTGAAGTAAGAATTTCTAACGAGTTCTTTAATGCTTTGAGTGCCGATTTCTGCCCCCATCAATTCTTTTCTGCAAATTGCCCCTTAGTGTAATGCTTTTAGGGGACATACTGCCGCAGTGCTCATGCTGTGGAGGAAGTAGTGCCCGAAGGATATTGCATCCTCCATCAGATGAAGTGGAACATGTAGCACCTGTCTTTTCTCTAGGTTAATTGCTGGTATGCTGGGGAACAATATTTTTATCTAAATTTATATTCATTTCATCATTCTGTTTTTCTTTAAGTTAAATATTTAGATCTTGTTTATTGACCAGCTTGGCTATGGAAATTTGGTATATATATTTTTTAACTCGGTGACTTTCACAGTAGGTAGAAGCTTATCAGAACTTCCTGAGGAGAAATTTCATATTAAACATAAAAATAAACTTATTACTGATTATTCTCCTACCCCAGCTTGTTTGGGGGGGGGTGTTTTGTGAGAGCTCCTTATGTGATTCTGGTAACCATTGCTACTCCAATTGAGAAGGAAGTTGAAGTTGGTAGATACGTCAGCTTACCTGATTTCTAGCTTTTTTTGCACCCTGCCTAGTTAAAGGGCCCCCTCCCTCACGTGGAATACATGGTTTGTAGCACAAGAACAACTGTATACTGCTCTTTAAAAAGTTCTTAAAAATCTAGTTAAATCTTCTACCTTTTCTACCTAATAGGGAGGGGGTCCAGTGCATTAGTGGGAAGGAGAAGCTCAGACTCTTTCCCTGTCCTGGGCGATGCTTTTCTTGTGTGTTGCCTGTTTCAGTTTTTATCTGTGAGGAGACAGTGGTACTGTCAGAATAAAATAACACAGACTAAGGAAATACACATTGAAAAGAAAGGGAGCCGAGGGGGTTAAAGACTCCAACAATATGGAGGAGGGGGGTCAGTCTCTTCATTTTTCCTTCCTTTTTCCTAATTCTTATGTCTACAATACTGACCTGGGATTATCTTGGGATAAGCAAAGAATTGGAGTTGCTCTTGAATAGGAAGTTGAGGCTGCAGCAGTTGCCTGCCCCCATGCTGAGGTTCCCCAAAATAATGCCAGGGGCCCTTCCAGCCCTACACAAATCATTCTTTCCTCCTGGACAGGGCTGTCCTAATATTCTGAATGTTCTGTACCGTGTGGCGGGCTCCATTGCCTGTCCCCTTTAAATTGTCCTGCTCCAAGCACCCAGTTTGCCCCTCTTCCCTGTTCCTAGGCTCCTTCTGGGCCCTTTTCCTTCGTTGTCCTCTCAGGTTCTTCCCAAGCAGATGGGGCCCTCACAGGGAAAAACAGATTTTCCCAAGCTGCAAACCCTCTCATTACCAGTGTTCACTTAAAGATGAAAAGAAGGAAAATGTCTGTAGTAATTTGACTGCTTCTCTTCCTCCTTCCCCAGATCTTTACTAGGAAGGGACATAGGAGAAAAAATACCCCTCCTGAACTCAGACCTAATGTACTGTTACTCTACCTCTTATGAAATAGCTCTCCAACTTGGAAATAGTCTTAAGAGAAATATTTTAAGAGGGAAAGAGCCTTAAACTGAGTTTTAGGAATTGAACATGACTTCTCTTTATCCCTGCCTCAGTTTCTCTTTTATCCAGATTCTGGAACTAGAGAAGCTGTGCAGCTGGAAATAGAACTAGGCGGCTATAAGGATCTTTAGGAAGAGACTGTTGTGTTCTCTCCCGTACCCCCAGGGCTCAGTAACAACCAGGTGCACAATGAAAGAAAGCAGCGCAGAAACCACTGAGTAGAAAGGAAGTAGTCCACACAAAACATACTTTTATAACAAAATAAGGCAATTGACTTAATAAGCTTTATTACTTGGGCTCCTTGGAAAACCTGCAGTTCTTTCCTAAGTTACAACCAGTGGAATTTACAAAATTTGAAGGATTTAGGATGTTGCAAGGTAACCATTAGTGAGAATGGGGTGGTAGAAGTAGATCATTTACTGCAGAGAGGAGTAATGGCTCGAGGCTCAGCAGTTGGGGGTCATTTAATGTAGGGACAATTAACCTTGAAGCCCTTAACATCGCTGAGCAGGGGAGAGTGGGATCCAAGAACCATGGCCCAGAGGGCAGGGCATCATAAGGACAACTGAACCTTTGCATCCACAGCAGACCCCTAAGGACATATAGAAAGAATATCGTGCAGTGTACGAAACTATGTGCATAGTGATAAGTAATACTTCCTTTCATTTTACTAAAATAAATAAGCATTTGAAGAACCGCCCATATTTCCATTTTAAATGGTTAAAAATTTAAACATTTTGGTACATGATTTCATCTTTTTACTCCAAAATGTGTCATTCCTTTTCTTGAAAATGTGAGATAATTGTTACTGACTAGGTCCATAAAGGAGTGATAATATGTGTTCTTACCCATCTTACAGACATGTATCAAACATGCAAAAACTATGAAAATGATGGATGGTGTGTAAATAAAAGGAAGTAGTTACTTAGTTTGGCCCTAGTTGATAACTCTGAGAATTAATATTTTAGAACCCTTTTGAATCCTTTTCTTATGTTTTTCACTTTGTATCTGTTTTGTAGAACTCAGCATTTGGTCAGTATTGATCTTGAAGAGGCAGTGTTTTTATTGAAGGATAATACACATGCAGGGAAGTGTACAAGAAATGTACATTCAGTGAATTTTCATGAAGTCATATCCAAGTAACCAGCATCTAGAATCAGAAACAGAACATTACCAGGAAGAATCCCAGAATCCCCTTGTGCCTTTTCTAGTCACTGTCCTTTCTTCCCCACACTCCACAGCTCAAGGGTAACCACTGTTGCATCCAATAACATAGTTTAATTTGAAAACATTATGTTAACATTTAATCAGAAGTTTTGGAGAGCCCTTTAATGGGCTTAAGGTAAAGAAGAAAGGAGCTTGAATATAAATGGTGACCCTTTGACTCATTCCCCTTTCTGAAGTACTTTAGGGGAAGCATGATTGGAATAGAGCAAAGTGCTTAGACAGTTTGAGTTTGGGTCTTTATGCACTCAAGTACCTTGTTTGTGGAAAAGATAGAAACTCTCTCCTGTACATTTCTCTGTTTTGACAAAAACAAAATCTTGTAATGTCACATTCTTTTCTGTCTATGTTTTTGGCTTCAAGGGAATTACCACCTTTTCCTTTAGACCGAAGGCTGTCTTCCTTTATTTAACATTCTGTCATCTGGGTTTTTTATTATTAAATCAGCACGTTGATTTAGACTTATTGCCAGGGCTTAGGTAAGGTATGAAAAATGAATTGTTTTCCCTGCTTTACACATTTATACTTAAGTTTCACTTTGGAGGTTTGGGATGAACTATTCACAAGGTACTTATTAATTTAACTCTTTCCATATAGATGAGAGTTTCAATAAAAGGTGACTTGGGTGGAATTTTACAAACCACCAACTTTACATTGTAAATGTGCTTGTAGTGTTCTTTGCATTCTAAAAAATTTCTTGTGATGTCAGCTAAATTCTTATCTTCTTGTTTATAAATTGAATTGACTCTTAGGCTTTTGCCATTTAGAGAAAACAAGTGTGTATATGCATGCTTTAAACTGTGGGAGTTGCTAGATTGGGGGCCCTCTGAATAGGGAAATTTGTCCATTCAGCTGTTGTCTTGGTGCCTAGTTAACGAGGTTCTCTTAAATTTGACTGTGGCTCCAATTTTAAGATTATTAAACCACAAGACCTGATCCCCAAGTAGGACTACCAATTGGGAGTTCATCTGGTATAATTTTACTAAATTCCTTTTTAAATGTTATATATGGCTATTTTTTTTAAAGTTATGGTAAATTATACATAACACAAAATTTACCATTTTAACCACTTTTAGGTGTACAATTAGTCATTTGGTTTTTACAACTTTTATTCATTCATATCAGCTCTAATCATCAGATACATGTAATGACAGTCAGCTACATGCCTATGCTGAGGTTGGTAGTCACTGGAAAATTATGAAAGAAGTATAAATATGGTCCCTGTTCTCTAGGAAATTAAGCCTCTCTAGGGAAACAAGATTTATGTACACCAGTTATATAATGATTCATGGTAAATAAAGCCTTGACTGGTCAAGGAAAGTTTTGTGTAAAAGTGAGACTCAACTTGGTCCCTAATCAGAGGTAGGATCTGCCTAGTTTGAGAAGAAAGAGGAAGTGGGTAGCTAAAATAGCATACCAGCTACTTCAGTGTTCAGTCCATTGTCTTTCATAGAATCATTTCCTCTTTTAGCTTTGAAGCTCTCACTTAAAAAAAAAAATAAGCTGAATATTTAGATGAACATATTATTAGCTCATAATTAACATACTTATAAAATCGTAGAAACCAAACTTGCATAACTTGCAATACAGACACTATTCAGAATCTAGATTTATAGTGATAGAAGGGTTAAATTTTTTATTAAAATTCTGTGCGAATACCTGTATTAATACAGCATTAAATTTTTTAATATATTACCACTTGGGAGTATGTATTTCATTAGTGAGTTTGGAACAATTACAGTTACAGTTTTTATGAAAAATAATTGTGCAGAAAACAGCATGTAATGAAACATATTTATTGAAGTTAATCTTGAATGCCTGCTATTCTGAAATCAGGTAAAAGTTTAGAATGGATATACATTGTATGTAAAGAGTGAGTTATGATTAGTTCTGAATAATCTTGTACTGACACGTGATTGCAAAGGCTGCTGCACATTTTGTTAGTGGGTGTCTCTAATGGGTCAAGGGTTTCATCGGGGCTGAACATGTCTTACAATAAGAATTACTAAATTGAAACAATATTTTTTCTTTCTCATGTCTGCAGACAGGCAAACATACACTTGGGACCCCCATGTTCACGTGACATCAAGAGGAAACGGAAACCTGTGGCAACAGCATCTCTTTCTAGCCCAAGTGCAGGTACTTGACATTATCATTCCTTGAGCACCTGCTGTGTATTAGGCACTAAATTCCATGTTTTATATACCTTTTCATATAACCTTTGTGATATGGTAGGTCGTTTTTTTCCCACTTTACATGGGAAAACTGAGAATATGAGAAGTAATTTGCCTAAGGTCATGCATGTATAAATTTTTTCTATTAAAGTGTCATTGATAATACAATCTTATGTTGGTTTCAGATGTATAACAGTGGTTCAGTAGTTACCCACATTATCAAATCCTCACCTCCTCTAGTGCGGTTACTATCTATCAATGTAAAAAGATGTTACAGAATCATTAACTGCATTCTCCATGCTGTACTACCGTCCCCGTGACCACCTTATATTATGATTGTGAATTATTGCTCCCCTTTATCCTCCTCACTCTCTCCCCACCACTGACCCGCCCCAACCCTTCCCGTCTGGTTACTGCTAGTCCCTTCTCGGTGTCTATGACTCTACTGCTGTTTTGTTCCTTCTGTTTTGCTTTGTTTTTATATTCCACAAATAAGTGAAATCATATGGTATTTGCCTTTCTCTGCCTGGCTTATTTCACTGAGGATAATACCCTCTAGGTCCAATCCATGTTGTTGCAAATGGCAGGATTTTTCTTTTCTTTTTATGGCTAAGTAAAATTCCATTGTGTATGTATACCACCTCTTCTTTATCCATTCATCTATTATTGATGGACTCTTAGGTTGCTTCCATATTTTGGCTATTGCAAATAGCATGGTGATAAACATAGGGGTGTATATATATGTCTTTTCAAATCAGGGATTTTGTTTTCTTCAGGTAAATTCCTAGAAGTGGGATTATGAGATCAATGGTATTTCTGTTTTTAGTTCTTGAGGGACCTCCATACTGCTTTCCACAGCCACTACCAACTGCCATTCCCACTAACAGTATAGGAGGGTTCCCGTTTCTCTGCATCCTCGCCAACATATGTTATTTCTTGTCTTTTGGATAGTGGCCGTTCTAGCAGGTGTGAGGTGATATCTCATTGTGGTTTTGATTTGCATTTCTCTGATGGTTAGCAGTGTGGAGCATCTTTTCATGTGCCTGTTGGCCATTTGTATTTCTTTGGAGAAATGTCTGTTCAGATCCTCTGCCCATTTTTTGATTGGGTTATTTGTTTTTTGGGTGTTGAGGCGTATGAGTTCTTTATATATTTTGGGTGTGTAACCCCTTATCAGATGAGTCATTGACGAATATATTCTCCCATACTCTAGGATGCCTTTTTGTTCTGCTGATGGTGTCCTTTTCTGTATAGAAGGTCATACGTATTTTAAGCATTCAAACCTATTTCTCTCTGACCCTGAAGTCCAAGCCTTTTCACTGTATCACATGGCTTTCTTGTGTGTGAGTCCCCGTATTCCACTATCAGCAATCCTTAGTCATTTGGGCTTTTGTTTAACACAGACAGGAAATTAGGTCTGTGTTAATGAAAATCCAGTCAGGGTGGCAGTTTGGTCAGTAGCCAAAGAGCCACATGGATTTATGTCCTTTCTTATTTGGTATACTGTATAATACATTCTCAACTGTTTTTACGTGTAGTTGAGTACTAATATTTTACCTATCATGAAATTTCTAGTTAAAAAAACAGTTTTCAAGTTAAAACCTTTTAATTTTCTGGGCAAAACCAGTTGGAAGAAACCAAAATACTGGTGATCTGTGGTGGGGATACTGACCAGGACAGGACATACTCTTCTGGAATGCTGGGAATGCTCTATATCATGGATGAGGTGGGGATTTTGTGGGAATATACATACATAAGGATCCATTGAGCTGTACATTTGTGATTTTGTGCACTTTACTATATGTTATCCTGAAATGAAAGAGAGGAGGATAGTTGTATATTTATGTCTACCATAAATATGTAACTTTTCTTTTTATGCAAGAATATTGGATGTCTGCAGATAATTTTCTTTGGTGTTAAGGAAAGATGGTTAAATGTAATTAGTAATCATAGGAAATCCTTTGTGTTATTTCAGTATAATTTAGGGTGAATTGCTTTGGATAAAAAAAGTCATATCTGTTTGAAGGACCTATCAGAAGTAACTACAGATAGGTAGTTTTCTTAATGATGGTGAGTTCATTATGAAGGAACTGAGTATATCTTAAGTTACTTAATTTTCTTCAGAAAATTATTCATATAGATCAGAGCAATTGATAGCTAATAAAGATTAGACCTCAGACAGATAGGGGATTCTTCCCCCCTACCTCTGCTTAGTAAGTTTCAGCATACTCTGAAATCAGCTTCTTTGAACTGCTGTTGGGAACAGCTTCCTGATAATGGTTCATACTGGACAATGTTAACACAGGTTGATGATTATAGTAAAAGTATTTTAGTGATTTCCATATGGCCATGCCTTGAGCTGAATGCTTTGTATGCATTATTTCACTTAATCTCTGTAGCACAGTTTTATAAGGTACATGCTATTTTTATTTCCAATTTACACATGGGAAAACTGAGACTTAAGAGAGGTTAAATCATGTCCCAGAGGTCACATGTCGATAAATTGCAAAGCCAAGGTCAGATCAGTTTTCCCATGACACTAGAGCTGCCCTCTTACACACTGCAGGTGTTCTGTCTTATATAAGATAGAGTTGATTCCCAAGGATGGCTTCACATCAAAACCCAGATCCTCATCCAGTCTGTGGTATTGGAAGCATTACAGCACAATCTCCCTTCTTTATCTTTTAGTTCTTGTTTTTCTCCTTAATATCGAGCTTCTATTTCTAGCTTTTAATTGTTTATAGAAGAAAAACTGTTCAGAAGAGTTTAAAATCCTTATTCCTTATTTAAACTGGAAAGTATACTAGGAGGTCTTAAATAGGACTTGAGCACTGAACATTTCCCTTGCTGAGCCCAACTCCTCTCACTTGTTGACTAAGGCCTGCTTCACTGAACATTTTCCTTTTTTTTCCTACCCACAACCTGAGTGCCCCACGGAGGTGAAGGACATAGCCCGAGCCCACACCATCAGTCAGGAGAACAAATGGGCTTGCTCTGCCTAACATCGGGCCATCTCGGATTCCACCTCTTTTATAGAAATGAGTGATGAAGAGAGGTGCGTTCCGCTTTGCCGCTGTATTAATACACATCAGGGGCCAGCTCCTGGCACTAAATCACGGTGCTGCATACATCTGTTATCGGACTCTTCACCAGTGTGATGAACAAGACTGCAGGTAGAGGCTTCCTTGTGTCATTCTTTATAGGATTTTCCTAAAAGAATAAATAGCTCAGATCTCTGCCAACACTCTCCCCTGTCACTGTGATGAATTCAGCTTCTTTCTTAAACATGCAGCCACAAATCTTTTCTCTTTTCCCCTCCTCCACTGCTGGAAAGTTTTGAGTTGAAATGGACTGAATTTAAAGATACTAACAAGGCTAGAGAGGTGAAGAGCAGAAAGTAGCAGCATGCATGTCGTCCTTGTCTTTTGCTCTAGTATTAACAGAAGGCTAGGGAAAAGGACCTTTTCATAGGGTCATTAAGTAGATCTTTCTTGAAAGTGTAGCACCTTTATTTTCTCCTTTGTGTCCCCACTCCTCTTCCCTTTGCAGCTTTGTTATGTGCAGGTGTCTGATGTAGAGAGCCACCCCTGGACCTTAGTGAGGAGCTGTGTGAACCTGCTTTCAAGTCTGATACACAGGAACAGGGAATGCCCTGCAACTCTGTGCCTCATGCTAAAGTGAATTTGCTGTATGTGATCTTAAAGAATGTAACTGGACAAGAAAAAATGGGTTGTTTTCTCTAGCATTTGAGATTTTGTAGCGATAAGAAACATAAGGAACTCACGTAAAAACCAGACTTCATTTCCTTGAGATGATTTTCTTCATCAAAATGGCAGATCAGAGCCCTTGGTGTACAAATCCCATTCCTTCAAAAAGTGAACACATGGCTTTAGGTAAAGGAGAATTGGGATGATAAAATGATATATTTAGAGGCCTGACTATTTTGTTCATTCCAAAAGCCTTTGCTGACCTTCCTCTCTCTGGGATAGGACATGTATCCTTAGAGCATCAGTCAGAAGGGTACCCAGCAGTTAACCTGTTTATTATTTATGGCAGATTCTGCTTACCAGGCCAGTGGTGCCAGAATTTTTATTTGTTTTGCTGACTGCTGTATCCCCAGCATCTAAAATAATACTCGGCTTGCAGAACGATCTCACTGTTGTATGAGTAAGTGAACAGAATCTTAAAGTTAAAGAGGTTATTCTCAATATTTTTCTAACCCTGTGATAAGATTCAGTAACTCCATTTTAAGCTGGTCCTTGTCTTAGGAGTCATAGGGCAGATTCTCACTGCACACAAAGTCTTTTTAAAGTTTAAATGGTTTTTAAAGTTAAAAAATTTTTCTAATAAACACTGAATGGCTATAAAAGAACACTTATAGAAGATATGTAAGATGTAAAGAGAAATGATACAGCAAATATCCATGGTCCCTCCACTCACTTTAAGAAAAAGAATGTTACCTTTAAAATCTTCCCATTTCCCTCCGAGATAACCATTATCCTGATATATCTTTTTGTTAATCATTTATCATCCTTTTTTTCAAATAGTTTTAGCAGACATATATATCTCTAAGCAATATGTTGTCTAGTTATGCACATTTTTGAGCCTTGTGTAAGTGGAATGTCATATTTTAAAAGTCTTAAGTTTTGCCCAGTTATGTTCTTAAGATGCATTCATGTGTTTTCCTGGTTGCCAAAATCCATTCCTTTTTTTTTTACTGCCATACATATGGTATTCCAGTGTACAAATATGATAAATATACTACAGCTAAACATTCTTGATGAACATTTGGATTTTATTCCGTTTTACACTATTGTGAAAAATAGTGCATTGTTCACTGGGAGAACATGTGCAGAAGCTTTTCTTGGGCCACTTCACACTCCTTGGGATGGCTGTATTTAAAAAAAAGCCCAGGAAACAACAAGTGCTGAGAAGGAAATAGAGGATTTGCTTCTGGGAATGTAAAATTGTACAGCTGTCATGGAAAACAGTATGGCAGGTCCTCAGAAATTTAAACATCAAACGATCTAGTGATTCTCCTTCTGGGTAATACCCAAAAGAATTGAAAACAAGGATTCAAGCAGATCTTTGTACACCCATATTCCTAGCAGCATTATTTGCAATAGCTAAAAAGTGGCGACCCAGTGTATACTGTTGGATGATCAAAATAAGGTATAAACATCCAATGGAATGTTATTCAGCCTGAAAGTCTTCATTATTCAGAATGAAATTTTGACAAATGCTACATACTATGGAGGAAGACATATGCTAAGTGAAATAAATAGCAGACAGCAGAACAAATATTGTATGATTATGGTTATATGAGGTACCTAGAATAGTTGAATTTATAGAGACAGAACATAGAATGAGGGCTGGGGAAGGAGGAAAACGGAGAGTTAATGTTTCATGGTACAGAATTTCATTTGGGATGATAAAAAAGTTCTGGAGATGGATGGATGGTGATGATGGTTGTGCAACAATATAAATGTACTTAATGCTGCTGAATGTTACACTTTAAAATTATTGAAATGGTAAATTTGATGTGTATTTTACCAAAATAAGAAATATATGGCAAAAACAAGAGTTTCTAGGGTAGGGTTCTTTTCATTGTGGTTGATGACTTTATGGTAATGGTAGGTATAGTTTTGTGAAATTTGTTTTCAGTTAAGTATGAATGAGTGAGTGTGTGTGAGTATATGTGTATGTGAGAGAGAGAGGGAGGGATATTTGGGTTGTAATGTCAAATGTATTTCTTGTTGCTGTGGTTGAGATTTCAAAATGTTTGCAAGCTGCTACCCTCAAGAAACTCTTGTATATGTACCACAGAGTAATAGCTTTAAAGATTTTTTTTTACAGTAACTCACAGTAAGAAATTCATATTTGAACATATATGTGGGTATATATGTAAATTGGAAATAAATCCTTGGGTGCACTCTGATATTTTTTATCCCTTATCATTAAGAAAAAAAAAGTACTGATCATGACCCAGTAAATTGATTTTGTGACCCACAATTTGAAAATTACTGCCTAGGTTACATTTCTGGGAGTGGAGTTACTGAGTGATGGGGTAAAAATGAAACTTTCCTAGATTTTGCTATATTCTAGTGTATATTCACTCTCAACAGAGTGTGTGCGATGGTGATTGGTACTCTGCTCAGGGGGCATTTGGAAATGCCAGGACAGTGTGTGGTGGTCACAATGACTGGGAAGTGCTTTTGGCATTCAGTGGATGGGGTCCAGAGTGTGTCTTGAAATACACAGGACAGCCTGGCACAAGCAGTGATTATCATGTCCAGAGTGTCATTAGTGTCCTCGTTGAAAACCACTTGGCCCAATGATGTTATTTTTTCTACTGTTTTCTTTATTGTGCACTGTCTATTGGTGACACTGTCATGTTGGAGGAATGGGGGTGTGATAGAAAGAGCAAAGGGCTTGAAATCTAGTATCTGAGTTTGAATCTTGCTACTTGGCCAGCTGTTTTGTGCCCCTGAACAATTTATCTGCTCTCTATGTGCCTCAGTTTTCTGACCCAGAAAATGGCAATGACAGTGTCTACCTAAGGGTTGAATTAGGAAATAAGATTGTAAGTGTGCAGTATTTACATAGTGCAGTGTTTAGCACGGAAGTACTTATGAAGTGGTAATTATGCAGTATAATTTTGTAATACTGAATGTATTCATTTGTTCACTTAAACCCATTTTCTCAGGTGGAGAGGTACTCCTTGCTTTAATTTTTTTGTAAGGAAAAAGCAACCGTATGTGGCCACTTGGGTTAATAGGGCTTTAAACAGAAGGATTAAGATTTTGTGTTAGAGTGTCTCTCATTCTAATTTGTCTCCCCTTGATTTTTTTCCTCCTCACCGTTGTTGTAACAACCTTGCCAGTTCACGTGGATGCAATGGAACCGATCACACCAGAATCACAGGCCCAGAAATCTCCAAACTCTGAGTGGTTGGCCCGGACCTCTGCCTCAGAGAAAGCCACTGACTCAGCTGCAGCTACGTTTTTTAAAATGCCACAGGAGAAGAGCCCTGGATACAGCTAGAGAGCAGGGCTAGAGAGCAGGGCTTCACCCCGGGAGCCGGCTGGGGGTGTCAGACCCATACCGCACTCGGTGTTACAGAGTCCTGCATGTCCTGATTGCCATCCCAGTCCTCTCACCTCCAGAACTGACTGCTCTTCAAACAAAGCAGTGGACTCTTTCTCTTGGAAAATCACGCTGTGGAAGCTGCTTTGTTTGTTTTTTAACTAAAATATTGGGGCAGCAATTTTTTTTAAGAAAAGGCCATCCTGTGCTCTGTTTGCTACCCTATTATTGCTGTCCCAACAGTTCCCTGCAGCTCCATTTAGAGCTGTTGCTTTTTTGCAGGTATGTCTTTTTCTTGAAACTCTAGGAACTGCTTTTGCATACTGTTTGTGCTTTTAATAATCATTTGAGGAAGTCCCAAATTTGCAGCCAGTTCCAGACAGCTGTAACACTGAGTTAAGACCTGTGTATGGAATTGTGTTTATACAAGGTAAAGCTTGCCTGTGAGTCTGGTCTTCATTCACTCACCAGAGTGCCAATAAGGTAAGTTCACCAGATTCTCAATCTGGAGCCTCAGAAGAGACACCAGCGGCAGGGGCCTTGGGGCTTCTTCCCTCCCTCTGGTTGGTCTGATGGGATTGCCAGCAGCTGCACTGTGCTCTGCTTCATCTCCAAAGGTCATGTTCTACTGAAAGAGGACCTTATATATATATATATATATATACACATATATATGTGCATACATATACAGATTGGTGTGGTGAAGAAGATGGTGTAGATGTACAGCAAACTTAAAATAGTGGGTTGTGTCTTAATACTTCTTGTGGCAGTGTAAACCTTTATATACTAGGGACTTCTGTTGTTCATTTATAGGTCAGTAACCAGCAGAAATTCACACTCTATTATAATAATGGCTTCTTGGGGCCATACTTTGGGGAGGAAAAAATGTCTTTTTGACATGCCTTTATGCTTGGTGTGTTTATGATGGCTCAGCTGCATGTAGAGTTATATATATAGCCACGCCTGAAGTTGGATGCTACTTTGTCAAAATGAGGAATAAGTGATTGCCTAGAGCTGCCAGAGAAAAGCCACCTTTCTAAAAAGGTGTTATCAAGAGTGTCTGTCATTCAGGGGCTTGGTTGACAGAAGGGCCCTTTTCTGTCTGAACTGAGTACATTTACTCTGAAATGTACAAGAATCGTTTTCTAAGTGTTGCCGCTCTGATGATGTTCTGGAGGAGCTGTCTCTCCTGCTCCTGCGTATTTTCTGTGCTTAAATAGGTGCTGAATGGGACAGTCTCCTTTCCCTGAAATGTGGTTGTCCCCTTTTCTCATACAGAATGCAGTCGTGGGCTGCTCTATCATATTCCCTTTAAAATTTACTGTCCTTACCAGTGGTGGCTACAGAATTTCCTTGTTGACATGAGTCTAGTTGGAAAGGGGGACTTGAAACTAAGTTTACATAGTACTTTATGTAAAACCAAGAACATGTCAATTGTCAATAATAAAGCATAGGACAGAGGGAGGGGCTGATGGAGACTGGGGTGAGGAGTAGTGCTAAAGCCACCCCAGCACCCCTGGGAGTCACCCCTTCCTCATGCAGTAGTGAGTTTACTTCCCTTCCTCTGGGCTGCACCCATAGCAGCCTAGAAAATAAACTGTCTGCTGTATGTAAAATGGCACTATGTGCTCTCTCACCTAGTTCCCACAGTGTCCTGAGGCACACAGTTCTAATGTAACATGTTGGACTTAAGGGAGAAATCCACGGGCATAATTTTCTATGCACTAAGCCTGTAGCTCACGCAGAGATCGGTCCTGTGATTGTTGCCTCTTGAGACCCCCATAGTTAGGGTAGCATCTTTTTTTCATGATATGTTACCTAAACCTGTTAACATGACATGTTACTTTTCTACCTGTGATTTTAAAAAATCTATTTATACAATTTTATTTGCATTTTAAACATCTCTATGATGTAAAGGTAGGTGACTGCCACCATTTTACGGAGACAAGAACAGTCACAGAGTTTAGTGACTTGTGCAAATTCACATTATCAAGCCAAGACTAAATTCACTGAGAGTGCCAATATCCCAGACTTTCAGACTTTGTCTGCTCTGGACTATGATCTTTTGTTTTTCATTGATAGACCTGAGTCACTCTGAGATCCATATATTTAAAACAGTATGTTATGAATATTTATCATGTTTCTTGGGTATGCTTTTCTAAATGTTTTGAATACTTTGAGCAGGGATCACCCAACAATGTCATTATCTACCTGTAATAAGTAGGGAAGAAAATTAATTGCCTAAGAAAATAGCCACTAAACACACAAATACTTGGCAATACAGGGTTGTAAATCGTGCTCCTCATTTTAAGCTGCTGCAAGAGCATGCTTACAGAATTATTAACAGTTGATTTTGCTTGTTTTCTGTATGAATGCGTTCCAGAAGCATAACCCTAGAACTGAATGTATTTTCAATCTTAAATTTTAAATTTCCTTTTTAATATGTCATAGTGTAGAATGTCATAAGTTAAGAAAAGTCTGTTACCTTTCAACAGAAGATAATTTCAAATTTGGGTTTTGTAATCTGCTGAAAAAACTTTGATAGCCCGACTTCCTTGGGGGAAAATCCTTGAGCTCACATGTATTTGGTCTGCTCAAAAGAAGTAACTGGAGCTGAGTTCCCAGTTTTTACTTATTTCAGGGTTCTGATTTCTCTCCGTTGGCTACAGTCTGCCTGCCTGAATCTTAATCTTGTATATTTTCCACAAAGGGCAGAAATTAAGACATTATCGACTTCAATGGGAATCATTCATTAACATTAGTTTTGCTTATGAGATTAAGGGAATTTGTGATTATTTTTCAGATGCAACTTCATTTGTATCAAAACTCTTGTGTTGCTTTTTGGTAAGAAGAACTATTCAGCAGAGGAAATTAGTAGCTGTTCACGTGTCACCAAATTTGGGAGAGACAGAATATATCTTTGTAGAGTGGTGTATACTTGATAAATAGGTGACATTTAACCTTGAATTCTTTAGAAATCAAATGCAGTTAAAAATTCAGACGACATTGTTTTGCTGGACTATGAAACAGGATGCAAACAAGCCTGTGTGGGCAGCAAAATGACCGAAAGCTGAAATAAAGCTTCTTAATCTGTTATGCTTAGGGCATCCCTTGCCAAGTAGCACTCCATATGTCAGGCAGGTATTAAACTATTTATGAATCCCAAATAGATTAATCTGACGTATCATGGCGTTTTGGAATCAGACACACAATCTAGACCACAGCATTGGGAATTCTGACACTGCAAAGTAAAGCGGCAGAGTTAATCATGAAAGGCACATAGAGCTGAATAAGTTAGAGTGTCACGGGGAAGGAGGTGGGCTGGCCCTGTCGTTGCTGATGTGATGGGTTCTCCAGTTTGTCTCTAGGCAAAGATTCCTGGTGATGTATGATTCATTTCAGGTCTTTGTTTTATTTTGGCTTTATTACCATAGTTCTGAGCTGTACACTTTTGGTTGCCTGGGGAGAAGACTATGTAAAAACCTCAGCATTAGAAGCTGTATTCAGTGTTCTGTATGTCTGGTGAACCTTGTCAGAGCTGGGACGAGAACAGAGTGGTTTACTCCGGCAGCTGTGGTGTGGTCTCGGTGGGGGTATAGCTTACAGCGTGTGTCGTGGTTCATGGGCTGGGGGGAGGGATGGGAGAGGCAGTTTGCTCTTGCTGTCAGCTGCTTCCTTTGTTACTGCTTGAGCCGCCCATTTTCCTTGTCAGTATTTCCTTATCTCCCACTCCTGTCATGACAGTGGAGTTACTGATGGTAGCAGCCATCAGTATGGGTTCCTTCTCCATCAGAAAACTGGTACAGAAGGTAAAGGTGAGGACATCGGTGAATTCTGCTGTTAGCATTAAACTTAAAGTGGCCCAGAAATGCTTTCACCTATGTCAAGATTGCAAAACAGCTAAAAGTCAAATTCCTGGAAACAGCGACACCAAAAAGACACAAGGAGGACAAGTGATACTGCTGAAGAGTGTGGATTACAAGGTTTTTAACAAGTCCAGCAAAACAAACTTAGGGTCAAAGAAGACATTTTTCTGCCACTGCAAATAGACATAAAAAACTGTGGTAAAATTGCCAAATTTTGGGAATAAAAATTTTAAGCAGTTATTGATGAATGAGGCAGATCCTAAAGATTCATGAAGGACCACAATCTTGGCAAGGTCCAGAAGTGGGAAAGCAAGGGGAAGAGAGTGGAAGGTGCTGAGGACGGATGCCTGGGTCCCCAGGCCAGCAGCATCAGTACGTTCTCCCCCTCAAACCTGCTGAGTGAGAAGCCCTGTGGCTGGGGCTTGGCAGGCCGCTACAAGCCTTCCAGGGACTCCGGTGTGCCATCACCCGAGACCTACAGGCTCTACTCTGGTTACAAAGGAACGTTTTAATATGCTGGTGTCTGTTCCCCTGAGGTCTGAGGTGCTCTTATATTTCCCTCCCTAAGTGTAGAGATGTTTTGTGTATGATTCTTTGTAGAAACTGTTAATGTCTTTATTTCCCATACTTTTTCCCTCAAGCTCCTGAAAGATCCCCTGGAAATACTGAAAAAGGATGATGTGGAAAAAAGATGCCATCAAGGCCATATTTAGATGGATGGAAACAACCTTTTAAAAGTGGATTAAAATATATGAATGAATTTTTAGTCTGTGAGTGACAGTCATTTTTCACAATTGTCAGTAAAACATTTGTGTAAGATACTACATCCATTATTTTTCAATTTGTTCAGTACATGTAGGTTTCATGGGAAAATGTCACGTATTTTCCAGCATCATAATGGTGAAGACTTTAAAGTATGGCTCACAAGAATGAAAGAAATAATTGGAAGAAAAAAATCACCCTGGGTACATAATGTGTAATAAATACAAGTTTAGTTATTGGTAATCTTTTGCTAAGACAATCTCAGTACTTCAGAGCATGTAAAAATCAATTTTCAGTAATCCCACTTAATCATACCCTACTGTCTTTGTTTTACATTTCAGCTAGTGATTCTGCAGAAGATGGGCACTAATAGCAACAGCATGTTTTATTTTTTTGTTGTCTGAGTCATGAATTCAGCATTTCAGAATATGGTACTCTAAAGCTTTAAAATGAAATAATGTCCTTTTTTTTTAAAGATTTTATTTGTATGCATTGGTCTGGGCCCTAACTTGTTACTCAAGCTTGTGAACCTGAATTTTCTCTTTCTGGGAATATGTGTGGCTAAGTATCATTTCCTCAGGTGTTCATGTTGTTTTGTCCCCAGGTCAGTCTTTAGAAAGGTGACTAAGTAACAACATGGAGAGGTTAATGCCATTGAAAGAAAAATTTATAATGTTACTCCTAGTTTCTGTAGAATAAGAGACGCAGCTTGCCAGGCAGAGCCAAAGGATGGACACTGGGTTGGAGTCAGGAGGCAGAAGACAGGACTAAGGGATAAGTTGAGGCTTGAGCCTTAACTGGGGTTTCCTCCAGAAAAACAAGGCAGGGCATGGTGAATGGTTTAGGAATGGCTAGTTTTAAATAATTCTGAGGACTTTGGGCCTACAGTGTGGTATCCAGTTGCCTGGTACCTGGCCTTAGGCTGATTGCTTCCTGGGGTGTACAGGCTGGCTAGAAGGGGATATAGGTTCATCATACCTGGTTAGGTTACACATCAAAAACATGCTGCTAGCTGAGTCCTTTGCTATTTCTAAGAATCAGAAAGCTCTGGAAGGGATGGTCTCTCTCCAGCCAGAAAGTTTTTTTAAGGTTTCAAAATGTAATACACAATATTTTTTTAAAAATTAATTTTTTTGTGGTCTTTTGAAACACCACGCAGTTTTTCTCTCCATCTTGAAAACTAGTTAAATGTACTTCTGGCCAAAAATGTTATGTTATTAGGTGTTATGAAATGTAGAATATTAACAAGATTTTTAAGATGTAATTTTTGAAAATTAGTGTTTTCTTTCTCTAGAAGTGAGTTCTGACCCTTGCAGATCTCTCGTTCAACTGTTTTTAATTGAAAAAGGAAAATACCAGGGGACTTACAAATGGCCTTGGTGGCTTAGACTTAATTCAACCCATTTCACTATGTATAGATTCCACATCTTGCTTCTCCCCGTGGGCCATGTATTTCTCAATGGAAAATTGTCATGAATATGCAAACTCCTGCCACCCCAAAATCAATGGTGACACTTTGATTACTTCTAATATTTATCTCACTCAACCTCCCACCTGTTGTCAGCAGCTATTACTAGGCTATGCCCATTTTAAACCCTTTCTTCCTCCACCTTCTCTCTACTTTAGCCACCAGTCTCCTCTCCCCTAACAGATAATAGAGCATTTAGACAGGAACCCCCCACTTGTACACATTCACATACACCCTTTCTCACTTCTTAAAAGTACCTGGCCTGCCCAATATGTTGTAGTTTCTGTCCATTAATTCTCAGTCCATTGAAGCAGTGGTTTTTAACCCTGCCTGTGCATTAGGACCACTTGGGGAGATCTTTTTAAAATCCTGATTCCCCCAACTGAACCACACACCAATTACATAGGAATGGGAAGGTAGGACAGGCTTCTTCAGTCTTCACAGCAACATGCAGTTGGGGCTGAGACCACCATTCCCATTCTCATTGTCATTCTCAAAGACTACTCCTGCCACCATTAGCATTGTTGTAGCTGGGTTCACCAGTGTCTTCTGGTTGCCAAAATTTAGTCCTTAGCTTATCTTAATGACTTGACACAATATAACCACATCCTTTTTGGAATTCTTCCTTTTCTGACCCAGCTCTCCTGTTTTTTCTCCTACTTCTTTGCTCTTTCTCAGTCTCCACTGGTGGGCAGGTTAGTTGGTAGGTCAATCCAACACAGACTGCATGTTTCTCTCCGCGCTCACTTCCAATACTTAACAGCTGTGTGCTAATGAGTTCCTTTGCCATACCACCGTAATACACTGACTAAAAAGCACAGGCTTAGAACAAAGCATTTGCATTCATTAATTACTGTGAACTAGGAAAGCATACTCAAGGTCTCTGTTCCTTCTCTTTGTTCCTCTTCAAGCGCACTGGGGCAGGAAGGATTGCCAGTCACATTAGTCCGAGTCTGATATGGAGCACCCTTGTTTACTAGTGGGGTTGCTATTCATGCAAAGTCAGGCCTGAACTATGGTCCCTCTTCGGCTTTCTCCTTTCCCGTGTCTTGGACTGGTAAGGCGCCCTGGGCCTACTTCTGTATACAAGGAGGCCACCCCAACCTAGTGCTCTCTTCCGTTTTTTACTTCCTGCTGCTGGTAAGATTTTAGTTTTAGTGGGTGAGACGGACCCATTTCTTCACTACTTGTTGACTTTGGGTACCATGTTGGATCTTTCTTTATCAGAGAACTTTTTATTGAGTTTCAGGCACTAGTCCTAATAATAATAAACAGGAACTTCCCTATGTCACCACCATCACTGCATGCTGTCTCTGGAACTGTATGTGAGGGTTCCATCCTCACCAGAAGGGACCCCATGTCTACCTGGCTTCTTTGAATCACAAGTTTCTGATTCAGAATCTGGGAGAGGTGGATCTCATTAGTAGTCCTGTGCCTGTGTCCTGGCTCCCGGGAGTGAGAAAGAGGTGATTAGGAATATTTAGCTTCCAATGATGATGGATGAATTCCTCAAACAGGAGGGCGGTTCAGATGCTGAACAACTGATAAGAATAGCAAAGATCCACTGGAGTCATTGCCTTAGTCACCTGTTCAACACTTACTGAGCACTCACTAAGCCAGCCTTCCTCTGGGACCTCTTGGGGAAGAGGGTGCTGCCCCAAGGCAGAGTCTTCCTAGGCTCCTTAGGTGTACTCCGCTTGAAACCAGTAGAACCCTCTCCAGAGCCCCTAATAATGATGTTGATGATGATGCTAGTGTCTATTTACTGAGTGATTATTATATGCCATTTGCAATAGCATCTCAGTCCTCAACTCTGAGGCAGGTACTTTTTGTCTCTTAAAGCAATGAAATGTGCTTACAGTTATTGGTTAACTTGCTCAAAGTCACATAGCTCATCAGTGTTAAAATTCAAGTTCCAAATCTATTTGATGCTAGAATTCTGTTCTCAATGAATACCTGCTGCTGCCCCATTTCACAATATAAATGAACTGTTGGTGCCCATGCTATATCTGAAATAAGCTCTGTGCCACTGGACCTGGGAGTCTGGTGACACCCCTTTACTCCATTTACCTGTTTCTTCTAGTGGGCTGTTTCTGCATCAGAGCAACTATGACTAGTTCTGTGCCTACATCACAGAGAGAAGGCAAGCAATTTCGGTGGCATCCTCTCATAATGACCTATTCTTGTTTTTGAAAGTGACTAATGCAAAAGTCAACAAAACCTCCCAAACCTATGGCAATAAAAAGGTATTGTCCTTTCTGGGCCAAAGCAAAACAGATCCGTCAGCCAGGAGGACATATGCTTTGAGTTGGTAATGGTAGTGATGGACTGTTGTGAACATCTTACAAGACATCAAAACAGATGCCTTAACAATCTTGGCCTTTATTAAATGTTCCTTCCCTTAGCAGATGTGTTATTGAACACATTTACACCCAGAACTCTGCTCCCTGCTGAGTATGCAAAGAGGAAAGGCGTTCCTGCGGTTATGTTCATGGTCTTCTGAGGGAGAGACAAGGAAAGCAAGTATTACAATTCAGTGATACATTTTTATTTTTATTTTTTTATTAAGGTATCATTGATATTCAATCTTACAAAGGTTTCACACGAGCAACATTGTGGTTACTACATTCACCCACATTATCAAGTCCCCCCCTCCCAAGCCCATTGCAATCACTGTCCATCAGCATAATAAGATGCTATAGAGAGTCACTACTTGCAGAGTGATAAATTTTGAGATAAGACTCGGGGGTGTTTTGGCAACAAGGAGGAGGGCACTCTAACTCAAACTAGGCAGAGAAAGGATTCAAGAAGTACCGAACTAAGTCCTGAAGGATAAGCAGGAGTTAATTGAAGAGAAGGTAAGATCATCTAGCCTCAAGAGTGTGGTTTGTTTAGGAACTGCCAAGTATTTTGGTATGACTCATGTATAAAGCATATGGATGAGCAGGGAGAGGTAGGCAGGAGACAGAAAGTGAAGGGCCCTTGTTTTTACTGGCTGGCTTGTTGACTTGAGCTGTTAACAGTATTTCTGTGCTGTGCTGTCATGAAAACCCTACAGCAACTGGCCCTTTGTTCAAACAGAGCTGAGACATATGTGAACAGGTTTGCATCTCCTTGATTACCTCCCTGTGAATTATAACGAGGTTCACCTATTAGTAGGAACTACTGGCATATTTCGGCATCAGCAAAGCTGACTTGGAAGTGTCAGTTCACATCATGGCTGACCGATTCTCTGTGTGTCCTATTGTGATGCCAGTCTGAAGTTAACTGCTAAAGTTGTTACTATCAACTACTGGTTATGCATTTGGGGCTTTGTTTCTCACTAGTGACAGTGTATTTGTGTTAATCCATTCACACCTTTAGATAGGAGATCTTTGCAATCTTTGAAATTTCAAGGCTGCTGAAAATGACCATAGGATAAAAGCAGTGTGGCTGGCCCATACTAAGCTTTGATTCCATGATTTGGAATCATTAATACCATAACTTATTTATTTATTATTAATTCCATAATTGTATTTACTTGTAAATAA